AGAGGGTTATTAGCGATCAAACAGTGTGCACATTTTTTTGTATATAGGTGTCTGAGATGTAACTTTGTATGTCTTACATTTTGCGGGACTTAGCATGCATCTATTTATTTTAGAAAAAATGTTACCCTCGCTCAAATGTCAACATGAATATTCGTTGTATATTTAGGGATGAGATATATTTTCCTATGTTTCACATATCCCAAAAATCAGCATCATTTTTTTCTTTATTTCAGAGAAGAAATTATCACATTCGCTCAAACTAAGTCTCTCCATATTGACAAAGCTGGTTCGACTGAGCTCAAATTTGTCATCCTAGACGAAGCCGATGCTATGACTAAGGATGCCCAAAATGCGCTTAGAAGGTGAGTTTTAGTTTTGGAACTCGAATTACCATCGCATGTCTTTATATTTCAGGGTAATTGAGAAATATACGGCAAATGTACGATTCTGCATAATCTGCAATTATCTGTCATCGATCATTCCAGCTATTCAATCCAGGTCAGTATAAATTTTCTTTACTCTGTCACTCGCATTTATCGCCAGTTTCAGGTGTACTAGATTCCGTTTTGCGCCACTGTCTCTAGAGCACATCGTCCCTAAATTGGATTACGTGGTATGTTTGTTTTGCACAAATACACTGCCATTCCTTTACGCTCCAATTGCTCCAATAAATTTAGATCGAGCAAGAAAAACTGACGGTGACGGAATCCGGCAAAGAGGCGCTATTGAAATTGTCATGCGGTGACATGCGCCGTGTGCTGAATGTATTGCAGGTTGATTTAGCCTTTTCGTATGATTCATCTGTTTCATATCGGTGGTTTTTAGAGCGCTTCGATGGCGTTTCCGAAGATTGATGAGACTGCTGTCTATCAATGTGTTGGTCAGCCCACTCCAAAGCATATAGAGAAAATTTTGCAAATTTTGATGAACGATAATTTTTCATCAGCTTGTCGAAGTGAGTGCCATTCAAAGAGTGATGTTTTTTGCGTGGAGTTTACTAAGTCTTGTTATTGTTTGCGTCCATATCTGAATAATTTTCAGAATTGCAACAAAACTGTGGCGGTGAAGGATATGCGCTGGTGGACATCATTTCGCGATTGCACGATGTAATATTTCAGTTGGACTTGCCGTCAAATGTAAGTAACTTTGTTTTATGAATCATCAATCATCATCTATTGTTTGGTTATTTCCATTGCGTTCTGATGCCGTTGATCAAGGCAGTAATATCTTTGAAGTAGATGCTTTGAATCTCAAATGGTACTATTTCACATTAGTTGACCCAAAAAAATGAATGTCCTGAACTTTGCTAAAATTTCGTCTAGAGGGGTTATTTGGTGCGCTGAACACGTATGACGTTTATTTCGCGCGGTAGTGCCATCTGGTGGAATTACGGTGGGGTTACGGCAGGTTGTCAAAATCACTTTGCCCGAAACTTCGCCTAAGGGGATTATTTGGTACGCTGATTGTGCTGCAGCGCCATCCGGTACCGTAGAATTACGGTAGGGGCTACTAGGGATTTGCCCGACTTACCGTAGTTCCACCGGATGGCGCTGCCGCACAAAATAAACATCATATT